GAAAAAAATGAGATTTACAGTCCAAATGTGCTGAGCAGCCCTTTCCCTTCAGTTATTAGAGGCACTTGGCATATAATTCATAATCGCCTAATGGCAGGTTGGTGGGGGAGGTGCCCACTGCCATTCAACATCAAAATCCCTCCAGAAACAGCAGTAACAGGCTCTGCTCATATTTATATCATGACAATAAATGGCTGCCAGGAAGATACCAGCAAATATCAGAATAAATAATTCAGTAAGTAACAGAAGATCACGAAGACTAACACATGTTTCTGTTTCCTCTCCTTTTCTCTCTCCCCATCCTTTATATACATGCTCTTTCTCTTCTGGTCTCCCAAATTTCCCTGCTTTTGTGCATTACTTCTCCTCCTTTTTCTTATGTACACAAAATCATGGCTTAAAATCCAGCTTTCCTGTTTCTCTGCTTTCTAGCCTCTGACAAGCTTCTAATAGTTTTCCTGCATTTATCCTTCCTCTCTAACTTTCCCTTATATTCTTTCCTTCTTGTACTGCCTGTTCCTGTCATCACCCAACACATCCCTTCTTGTGGGACAACTGGCAGTGCTGACTTGTCAGGGTAAACTCAGTTCTGAGTTATGTTACAGTAAAATGCTGCTGAAGTTGATAAAATCCTTTTGGCTTGATCTTGGAGCAGCAGCAGAATATGGCCCTGCATTAAGAGCATTCCTAAGGTTATTGCATTGCTGTGACACCAGATCCACCAAGTTACCCAAAGTATGGAAGGGATGTGTGCTTTCAAGTGGATTTGTTTATGGCTTTGCATACTTGGACACATAAAATACTCCAAGTCTTGATCTACATTCAGGAAAGGCAGAAAACCCTTTGGCTGACACATAAGGAGTGTCAGGCACTCCTTGTCCCGTGCCACAACCTCCATGTGATGTTAAATCATAAATGTGATCATTCATTCAGATGCCCAGTAGAGTAGAGGCCATGGGACTGTCCTGAATTCAACTCTGTTCAGAAGATACAATCTCAGTTTTCAAGGTGTTTTCAATGGAGAATTTCTCACCTCTGAGAGCAAGCTGTTCCTGGGGTTAATGCCTTCCCCACTAACTGGGGAAGGCATTAACCGTTGTTGGCCTTATATCTCATTCAAATTCAGCTGGTCTAACCTCACCCTTCCACTCACGATGAACCCAGTAACTGCCTGCTAGATACTGAGTCCTCTCTGAGCAGGTTGCCTTTCCATATGCAGTTTTATAGCCTATGATAAAGCCATCCCTCTATCTTCAGCTTGGCTGGCTGAGCTCCATAAGCCTTGCATTACCAAGCATGCCCTCCTCAACCATTTCCACAGAGCTACCTGGTTTGCATTACTCCCCAAACTATTATTAATACACTTTATGGACCACTTTGTCATGGTTTTTTTTTCTAGTTCTTTAATAAAAATGATAACTAGCCTAATGCAAAGAGCTGTTACCTGTAACACCCTGTGAAATCTGGTTTATGTCTATAGAAAATTTCATTTTAAACTCCATAATTTACCCAGCTTTTAAATCCACTTAATGTGCATCATGTTGATTTCTGTAGTTTATTAATCAAAATTTCATCTGGTGCCCATTCAAGTGCCTAAAAGAAGAGAAGGAATATTCAATCAACGCTAAAGCCTTTACCAACAAAAATTAGTTTAATGAGATCTATTGTTATAAATCCATGTTGATTAGCATTAGTTAGCATATCTGTATTTAATTCTTTATTACTTTATTCATTAATTACATTAGCTGCTACATTACTTATTCTAGTATTGTTATATCTACACTTTTCAAGAGTTTGAATGATATCAACTTTCTTCTAGGTCTTTGATATTTCACCAGTATCCTGACAAATTCTAAAAGTCACCATTTATAGGAATTAAGTCTGGACATTTCTTAACCAGCTCTTTTAAAATGCTTGGTATCAAATTATTCAGATCAATTAAATTAAAATGACCGAAATTATTAACTGCTCTGTCAGTCTAAGTTACTGCTGGAGAAAGAAGTATTTTGTTGTCATCACATGGCAAGAATATCTCATCTAGTTTTTTCCCCAAAAGAAGAATAAAAATTATTATTAATTAAACATTATCAAAGAGATCCTTGATTTCCACAGGTTTTCTTAATCATTTCCATTTGGCAAAAGACAAATACTATCATTAGTATTTCCATCACTAATATGCTTTGCTATTACAGAATACATAATAATAATTTACTTGGAAGAGTCTGGGTTTTAATAGCTTTTGGAGCTTTGCTTCCTGTATTGACACAGCAACACACAGCTTGCCCTTCTTGTACTTCTTTTCCTATATAGCTTTTATCGTTCCAGGTTTCTGATTTCCAGATATTTCAGTGTGTTTGCTTTTCTTCTTCCTGTATGTGAGAAAAGGCCCATTCACAGTTTTTATTTCCTGCCAGTTTTACTTCCCCTCATAGCAAAGTTATTGCAATTTTTAACAGTATAGTCTTCTTTCTCATATACAGCACCAAGTTTTTTTGCAGACATGTAGTAGAATCTTGTCAGTAAGTTCCCAATTACCTGATAAAATTGTTTAGATTTTATTTCAAATTTAATTTGGTTCTTCATTATTTTCAGCTTTGTGAAATGTTACACAGTTCTTCCTCCTTTTGCCTTCAACCTTCAGGGCTTTATTTTGGATAATACACTTGTGTGGTTCAGTGGGGTTCATTTCTCAACAGGCAAATATTTACAACTATTCAATATTTACCTGTCTCTGAATATGCAGTTGCAGACATGCAGAGCAGGGAGATGCTCACGCAGAAGGGATAGGAAACATGCTGGATCTACTCTTCCAATGCCAGACCAGCAAGAAAAGACTTCACAGGCCTGAACATGCCGTCATGTCACCATGTGGTCTGACACCCCCTGTGCTGTCAGAACTGTGCTGACCCTGATAGTCGGCAGCCTGGCTTTAACTTAAACCACCCGTGCACGACCGTAGAGTCATCAAAGTGTACTGAAAGCTATGAATCTGTGCTGAAAGGAACAATTTAACTGAGTTAAGCAGAATGATTTAAGTCATCCCCAGCTATGCAGTCCTCTGCCACCCATGGGCAAAGCAGGCAAGTTTTGTAAGCAAATCCTTTCCCAGCACACGGGCTTAGTCATCAGTGAAAGCTGCTGGCTCGCTCCCATCCCAACTGTGGTTCAGCTGCTGCTCAGAGGTCAGCTCTGCAGGCACTTGATAAAGCTTCAATTAAGTGCTCTTCTTGCAGCACTCGCTGATTTACACATCTTCTGCCCGCACCGGCCATTTTGCTGAATAAGCCCGCACGACGGCAGGGACCGCGTACGCACCAGTGCCCAACTGCCCCTGCCTACAGCAGAATTAAGCTCCTCGAGCCTGGGCGTCACCAGGCAGCTTAAAATAAATGACAATATTCAAATGAAGCGCTTAAAAGGATGGGGGGAATAGAGCCACAGAGCCCATAGTACGAATATTACTACAGATACTTCAGCTGGGTAATTAATAATACACGGTGTATCTATTCCAGACAGTTTCTGAGCCGCTATTTCCTTCTGGAGATGTGCACATCAGCGTTCAGATGTGCACTGTGGCAGGATGGTATAAAAATTTGGGTGATGTGGACATCGTGGTGCGCTTCTCCAGCCTGTGTAACAGCCTGGAAGATCAGCCCCCCGAAAGAGGTTAAAATCCAAAGGCCCGACCTTACCTGCTCATTAACCGGGGTCACACTTAACTGCAGAGAGCAGCTTTTATCGAAGCCTCACACTCATGTTCAACTGCTTAGGCTACAAGTCAAAATGGAAAGTGACTCGTAATGACTGCAAATCCCTCTGGGAAAAATGAAAAAGTAACAAGCATAAGAGGATGGAAATTGTTTTCTTGACACAACGTGCATCAAGGAAGATCTGCGTTATTTATTTGTGAGTGACGCTGGTTGAAAGGGAATGTTTACATTTGCAGTTTTCACAAAAGAAATGAGTTCTGCAGAGATAGTGACATTAGAGGCATATTGGATTATTCTAGGAAAGACCTACCATATTTATTTGCAAAGGTAGTTATAAGAATTGATAGAAAGTCTCAGATTATTTTTCCTTGAACTTTTTTTGGGCAGCGGTTCAGAATAACAACCTCAAAAAATTCGCTCAAACATTTATTTATCAACCCAGGCACAAAATCTTCCTCCTTGCCAGGAGCATAGTAAAGAAACAAATGAACATAATTTTACTCTCTCCTCAGGAAAAAAATACATATCCCAGCCAAAGAGGCAAATGGAATTTGGCAAGACTGAATTGTTGACATGCTTTTATTACACTAACAAATAAAATGTTAACTGCAAGTGTTACGTGGCACTTGCCTTGTATGTAGGTCATTTTCTCTAGGCAAACTTCCTGCTCCACTCAAGGTAAGATTTCAGGGGATTCACATGGCAGTGAACCTGTGCAAGAAGGAGTGATTAGTAAGTCCCTGGGAGGTTTGGTTTAGAAGGCCTTTCTCCATTTCTTCCTCGAGACATTTCACAAGCAAAAATTAATGCTGGGCAAAAGCTGTGTCCCACTGAAGTCAAAGGCATGTTTGCTTCTGACTTCAGCAAGGCTGACTTTGCTCCCCTGGACTTAAAAGCAGTTTTGCTTCAGCAGGAACAGAGTAAAAGCTATGTGTGATCTTCAGCACGTTGCCCTGGGCTAACTCCAGGGAACACGATCCTCTCAAAGCCCAGCTGCAGACATGAGAACTTATTTAAGACTACTTTAAAATGCAAATTACAGTGGTATGCTCATCATATGCCTATGGATCCACTAGCATGAAAATATGCACAGTCCAGAAATATCCATGATCTAAGGAGGGTCATCAGCACCAGGATGCTGAGAGTTAAAAGTAAAAATCACATATAAGGGTCCATCCTAAACTTACGCAACAAAGAACAGACTATCAGCCTGGATTTGCTCTGATTGTTCATGCTTTTCTTGGTTTAAGTCTCAACCCCTAACCTCATTTTAATATGGATTTTCTACAGGCTCACTGCAAGAACAACAGACAGGCAGCCATGGATTGCAAGGATATAAATTCATCCAAGGGCTGCAGTGGCCAGAGCTGATACAGTAAGTGATTACTATCACCCATTACTTCCTGGTGCTGCATTTTGTAGAAGCCAGCTGATCACTGATTATTCCAGGTAGCAAGGAAAAAAAAATAAAACGGCATCACAGTTACTCTCACTTAATGATTTTGGCAACCCAAGCCTGTTTTGTCGTGTTGGTGCCACCCACAGTGCCAGACCCATGGCAACGTTCCAGGGCTTACAGGCAGTTACCCAGGTCCTATGGAAATGGCCATCAGCAAAGCAGGAGCAGTTCCCCACGGGCATCAAGAGCCCACACAGGTGTAGCAGTGCAGGGAGTCACAGTGTGCACGAGGAGGGGATGGGTGGCTGCTTCCCCACCACGTGCCACAGGGCACAGGAGGCACCAGGCAGAGCAAGGGCGAGCTGTCAGACCAGTCTTCCTCCATAAATTGCCCCACAGTGATGGCTGTGGAAGACCTGCATTGCCAAACATGAGCCTCCATGGACAAGGCCAACAAGGTGGCTTTGCCAGGCACACTGGTGCTGCCTGGAGGCTACAACTTGTCTGTATTGCTCTCGGCTCCTCCCCTTCCCATGCTTCTTGGTGCAAGGCAAAGCTGCAAAGACTACAGACTCCTGAGGGGTTTGTCCCTGGCCTGAACTTGTTTGAAGGGGTTAATTCCAAAAGGCTCCTGCGTCCTCTCACATACTGCTCTGTAGACATGTTCTGTGCTAGTCACAGCCTCCTAGCAAAGCTGTGTGCTTTGATACAGGCTATACTCTGCCCATGAGGGCAGACAGGACATGTTCAGTTATCCGTCCTCGCCCCGATGGAAACAAGCTAATGCCTACTGTATTTTCACGAGAGCTGTCCCCCATCTAATTTTAAATGTCACTTGTAATAGCTGTTTTTTCTTCCCCAGATAACTTTTGCAGCCCTGCAGTTGAAGTCATCTGAAACCACAAGATTGGAGTTTGAACGGCACTTGATATTATCAGTGAGCTGAGCCACTGCTCTGCACCTCAGCCACCATTTTCCCCTTCCATCCTTCACTGAGATGTATGTGCAAATCCAAAGGAACCAGTCAGTCAAATGTGGTGAAGCTATCAAACACACTGCTGCTCTTCCCCAGCAGAAGAAGCCTCACTAAAGCCAAGGGAATATCTGAGAAACTGCAGCCAGTAGAGGGATTTAGGCCTTCCACAATGCGTGACAAAGCTGTCATTAAAGCAATGGAGCAGTCCTGGGATCTTGAAAAATGCAAAGATAATAGTGTAAACAATGAGGAAGACTTGTTTGAGGAAAAAATTCCCAGCACACCACAGTATGCTCTTGAGCCTCCTGAATTCACTGTCGTCTGCAATGCTCCTATCCCCTTGGAGGAATTGCTGCACTATCCAAACCTCAATCAGACAAACTTATTCTGAGTCCCTTATGATGTTTGGGTTATAAGGCTCATGCTGTATATTGATTTGTCTTCTCCTCCTCCCTGCCCACCTCAGGGCCTCATTTCCCATTTCGTCTACATCGGTTTCCTGGATTGCAGAGGGAATTGTCTCAAGGTCATACCAAGATGCTTCAGAAGGGCTCAGCGATGAAAAATGTATGCAGCCCAAAATATTGTCTAAAAGCAATAGACTGAATATATAATGCCTGAGCCCCAAAAGAGTTCTGATGTATTTAAGACACAGGGATATAGATGCACACTTTTAAAAACTGCCCGTACTTCACCAGTTAAAACGATGAGAACAAATGAGGCTGTGATCTGTCAAGTGATCCTTCATCACTCCCAGCACAGGCCCATAATCCTTCAGTTGTGATTATGCAAAGGAATATTACATTGATCCTGTAAAATATCTCTGATTGGATCAATGTTATTTTCTCTCGCATTGACAAGGTCTTACCAGAGAATGACTGTAATTCCACTGCTAACACTGTCTTAGTGAAATCCCCCAATAAATCCTCCAAGCAGCACTGTTAGTAATACTTTTATTAGACTAACTAAACAAGATATTTATATGTAGGGCTTTCCAAAGGACTCTGGCTTCTGCTTCAGTTTCTGGGAATTTTTTATCCTCAGACAAGTCTTCCTCATTGTTTACACTATCATTGTTTACACTGTTGATCAACAGTGCTCTCCTGGAAGACTTGCCCCCAAGGAGGCTCTGCAAGGATGTAAGTGGCAGATGAAATTACCCTTTCAAGATTCAAAAGGTTGGTCACAGATATACCCTTGTCCTGCCCCTACTACAGCAAGGACCCAAATGCATCTTTGACAGAAAAATCTCACAGCGAATCTGGTTCACAGACAAGACTGGAGTTCAGAGTCTCTCCATACATTTCACAAACAGGCTGTCAGTGAACAGTTTGCTAACAGCCAAAGGGAAAACATGGTCTTTATGTACCTTCTGTCATTTCAATATTTGTTCAAGGCCTGGCCTTCATACTCAACAAGACCCGATCCCCTTCTAGCCACTGCTGTTTCTCCTTACCGGTGCTTCCATTCTCTTCCTCTCTTGCCCTTCTCTCTTTGTGTAAATTTCCTCTACTTTTGCCACCATTTTCTTTTCTCCACAGCTCCAGGCTTTCGGTCCCAGTGGTTTCAACCCCACACTGACCTCCCCTTCATCACTGAAGCTGAATTGTCACCTCCTGGTTTGAAATGTGATGCTCCAGTGAAATGAATGGCGGATGCCAGTGATCACCTTGTCAAGTCATTTTTTCAGGCTGCCTAGGTGCTCAGGCACCCACTGCATCTCTGGTTTCCCCTGGTTCCCTTCAGTAAAGTTTCCTGAAGCCATGAGAGCTGCAAACATATTTCTGACTTATCTTTCTAAACATTTAAATACAACCATAAGAATCATGAAAAAACAAAGTACTGCATCTAACATAAAGCTCAAGTGCAGCTGAAAGGCCAGTATATACAGCCATACATCAATTAGCAGATGAAAAAGCTACAAAGACAAGATATCAACAGAAAAATATCAAACAAAACACCGTGACAGACACTAGGCCTTTTTAAATCCTTAGAAACCAGGTTGGCATCTGTGATGGGTAAACTCTGGCTCTTACATGTTTCATGTGAAAATTTTCTTCATATTCTTTACAGCAATATACTGAAATGTCAGAGGAGTCACTTCTCAGCTCCCAGGCCCTTAGAAACAAAGGAAAAATAATTGATATTAGCCTTTGAAACCAAACAGCCTGACAGTAAAAGTAACTGTTAAAGATTATAGGGAGTACTCCTGACGTATTTCCTCTATTCACATCCATATTTTTACATGTTGCCTCTACCTTCTGGTTCAAATATCTGTGCACCAGATGCTTAAACTGTGGTGTCAGCTTTGAAGGTCATTGCCATAGCTGAGAGAGACCGAAACTTTCTCACTCAAATTAAAACTTAAACTCAGGAGCACTGACCTGCCTGGGTGCCTGAAGGGGTGGGTTCTATGACAAATGTTATGGATGTGAAATTGCACCATTATAAGCAGCCCAGTCTGTGGACCCTGATGGCCCTGGTTAATTCATTGGCACATTGACAGGGTCCTGGGTGCATGACCCTGGCACCCATTCACCAACCAGTTTCCACCAAATCTAACATAAGTTCCTGTGGCCTCTTCCAAAGCCATGCATAATGACAAGCTCCTGCTCTAGAGGAGTGATACAGGTCAAAATACACTTAGCACAGACCAAAACCCTGGAAAGAAAATGTTGAAATGAATGGAGAAGTGCTTATATCTGATCCCTAAGTTAGGACCAAGTCCTGCTATGGTGTAAATTGCCACCAGGATGGATAGAAATGGGGCAATTTGTGCCCTCTGAGACATGCAATAAACATTATCACAAGCAGCCTGAAAAGTCTTAGGCCTCAGAGGACATATTTCAGTGCTTAACTCGTGCCCAAGATGAACTTAATTTTCTAGGTGACAGGTACAATGCACCACCCAACCAGAGCAATCAAGTGCAGGTAACCTCAAATTTCAGGTTCAGAAACTCCCAAAATGCCATGAGCTACATTCAAAGGAAGAAAAATCTTTAAAGAAGACATGTCAGTACAGTCATCCTAATGCTGTCTGCCAAAAACTACACCTCAGTAACACCATCAAATGGACACCATGACCCCTCAGATGGAAGAAAGGATGGCTGCAGGTGAAGCAGAGCTTGGGCCTGAAGACCTGCCCATGCCTCAGCACTGCAGGCAACTTTCCACTAAGTACTGCTTCTTTCCCATTTCTCTCTCTTTGTACTTGTACTCTTGGAGTGATGCACAGGCAAAGACGGCTTTGGTGCTGAAGAGTTCATCTGCCCCTGCTGCTGCTTCTTCATTTGAAGGCATTGACAATGCAATTAGTTGCTGTGCCACAGGCAGGATGCTAACAATAACTGATGAACAAGTGGGGGAAAGATGTGCCACAAGTTCTGGTGTGGCACAGAGTGCAGGGGACACCAGTAGGGACAGAATGGGGTTCCTAACTGCAGGGACAAGACAGAAAGATTGGGGAAGAAGCAGATGGCCCTGTAGCACCATCACTGTCAGACACCATCACTTACACAGATAGACACCTTTCCTCCCTCCAACCATTCAAGTAGCCTCTCCTTCCTTCCCTTGAAGACACTTGTTGCCACAGTTTTCCCCATGAAACCTCCTGTTTAAAAACCTGCATGAAACAAGTCCCTGTGCTTTCTCCACACAGAAGTTTCCAAGTCCCGAGGCCAAGGCAGTGCACAACCCCACTCTGCAGTCACTTCATCACTGGGAAACACGGACCTTATAGAGTGGCCAGTGAGACAGTTGTGTCCTGGTCTCATCCCCACAAAGCTGATGCCACTGCCAGCAGTCTGTGACTACCTTTCCCCCCACAATCAATGAATTACAAGGAATAGCATTTGAAAACTGGAGGCTCCTCAGGACACTAGGTGAAAAGGATGCCTTTTTCCTCTTAGACACAGAATATTATTTCATGGCAAAAGGATGGCTCAAGTCTACATAAAGGAGTAAAGAAAACCACTTTCCTCTGCCCTTGTTCTAAATCCTAAGCAGTGTATAGTGGTTTACTGTAGAGTCCCTCTGCCGTAGATACAAGTCTTCTAAAAAGCAGCTGTCTCACAGTCACACAGCTCAGCACACGGGCAGAGGACCTCACACCCAGCTGCTCCCACATATGTGACATGCCCATAGAGGCAATGCCATCAATGTCCAGTCTCCCTCCCTTGGTCTTTGCTACCACTTCAAGCAGAAGAAGGGATGCTTTCATAAGACTGGGGTCATTCCTCAATAGAAGTAAAAAATGAAAATTCCTTCTCTGATCCTCTATAGATAACAACCCTCCTTCTCCAGGTACCAAGGCACAGAGCTGGGTAACAGTTTCTGCCAATAATGCAGAAGGCAGCTTTGCTACTTTGACTCTCAGGTAAGGTTCTCTGAACTTCCAGACAGGCAGAGATCCCTGCTTGTCTTGCTCCACACTGATGCAACCAGGCTTCCACCTTTTCTGAGAGCTTAACTATAGCCCAAAAAGGCTATCCCAGATGATGTTTTCCTACCTTTAGTGCTGTGGAGCACTTTATGTTCTCTGTAAGACTTTTCCCAACGAGTTTTTTGAGAATTGTGGTCTGCTGCTGCACACACAACTGAACAAAGCCCAGAGTGGGTGCCTTTAGCATTCATAAGCTGGTGGATCTTGGGACAAAATCCTTCCCGCTATACAGAAACTCCCCCAGCATCACCAGCCAAATGGCTGAACGTTTTGTGAACTGAAACACATATCTCATGGTAATTTAAATATGTGCAAATAAGAGTTTAATTCCGCTGCTGCCAGCCATTCCAGACGTTTAAATATAGTACGCAAATTCTCTTTTATTTTATATAAACTATTTTAATGAAGAAGCTGAGGGCTCTACATTCTCCTGGCTTACGAATACAAATAGCTGAGAATCTAACAGCCCTTTGCTGTTGTTGAGCTAAGGCAATCTGAAATGGAAAGCAGATGAGGGAGCCAGGAAACAAAGTCCCTATTAACTACATTATCTAAAGGAAAGCTGGCTGAAGTGTGCATTAAGTGCACAGACTCCACATCCCCAGTCCTTCCTGGATGTGGGGGGGGGGCACAGGAAGGAAACAAAGTGAGGCTCAGATCTGAATGAGACATGGTGCAGCTGGGTTTGCCTTAGGTCTCTCCCCTCTCACCAGACACCTGTGGCTGGTATCAGGCAGGCTGGTGATGAACACTCTTCCATCAGGTGCTGCTTGATACAGAGCTGAATATGCTCCTCCTTCAGTAAGACAAAAGAGGAATTAATAGTAATAATAAATTAATCTTTCACCATCCTGTGGCAAGTTTCACAAGGACATAGCACTAAAAAGGACTGTATTCATTTTTCTTGCATAGCATTGCAAGGGAAGTGTGAATCATAGAAATGTTTAGGATGGAAAAGACCTTTAAGATCATCAAGTCATTCTAGTTGGGCTGTGGCCTTTCCAATTTCCTCACTGCATAACCTCACAACATCTTTGTAGTCCTAAGGAGTTGCCTGCCCCTTTTTCCAAAAGTCATAATCTCTCTTCCTAAGACATCACTAGCCCTTGTGTCAACTAGAAGGATAGAGGAGAACACTATTTGTGCTCCCAATCCCTTAACCAGTTACTTCAAAGCCCTGAAGTCTCTCTTTGGACTTCATGTTGCAACTTCTTCACTTGCCCACCTGAAAAATCCATAATGGATAATCATGCGAGGGCTGTAACAGGTCAGGAAGCTTTGTCTTCACATCCTTAACCTGGGCCTCAGGGAGGCAGCAGGCATTCCTAAGAATTGGGTCCAGTCTGAATATGGGAACTTCTGTGTCTCTCAGGAGAGAGTCTCCTATGACAATAACCTGTCTTTTTTCTTTCCAGGAGCAGTTTTGACACAGGGAGTAGGCTGACTTAACCTCGGTGATACCTCCAAGCCAGATGAACCGTTGGCACGTGTAATGGTTCCAAAAACCTGTTTGAAGTGCTGTGGCCTCATTGCTCTTTCCAGAGACCCACTTCAGCACAGCTTCTAGCCTACCTGTATTCATGGCCCTCACACACACCGTTTTCTCTGCTAATGTCATCCTTAGCTTAAGCACATCTTCCCCCTCTCCTGTGTTTAACTCCTTTTCTTCTGGATAACAATTCCATTTGTAAAATAGATCTTTCATTACTTTTCTCACACTAGTAATCCCACTCCAGGCCTGCTTGGAATTCATCTTCATCACAGGTGGTTGACGAGAATTGCAAAGATTGTAACAGAGAAGGCTTGATTTACACCTTGCCCATGACTTTAACATTTCTCTTCTTGAAATATCCAGCTAGCTCTGTTCTTCAGTCACATCTGCCTTTCTCCTGGCCATGGTTCTGCTGCTCTCTGTCTGCACTTCAAGATATGTGCACCTTAATGAACCCCTTGTCCCCGCTAAGGTGTGTCTACATCCCAGCTGAGCTAAGGGTGAGATTCAGGTATGCGCCTTTCCCACCCTGAAAGGAAACCCTCTGCAGTACCTGCCCAGGGAGAAGGCATCTGAGCCCAAATCTCCTCATAGCCTGGATGTCTGGAGGACCAGAATTCCAATCTGCAACACAGAGGGTATTTAGTCAATAATGTAAACGTTCTCCAGGACAAAAAGTTTACATAGAAAGAAATTTCACAACTTTCCTGTCACCCAGTCCTCAACATTACCCAGTTCCTTGTATATAGTCCAGGACTTCTTTCTCTAAGCAATGTCTCATTCTTGGGGCAGCAGGAAATGTCTTAAGTTCATTCCTTTGTGCCCAGCCCAATGAGAGCTGTCACCTCCTCTTACAGACCCTGCTCCAGCATCACTAATGATATTATTAAAAAAGGTCGGTCGCCTTCTTCAGGAACTCTTCTGTTGACCTTTATCTTGAAACTCCCTCTCTCAGCACTTTTTGCTTTCCTTTGGTCAGTTCCTTAAACACACTGTAAATTGTGTACTAATTACCTTAACATTGAAATAACCCAGTTCCTTAGGGGCAGAATATAAAATCCTTTACCAAAATCCTGATAACTTAGGTCTAAGGCATTTCCTTATCTCAAACCCCAGTTATCTTCCTAGCAAAATATGGCACGGTAGTCTGGCACAGTTCAAATAGGAAAACATACATTGCATGTTGATTTCATTTTTCCCCCGTGCATTTAATTAATCTTTCCTTTAGAACTTACTTTAAACAGTATTATTGGTATTATTATGATCAAACTAAAAGGTCCACTGTGGCCCAGACAACTTTTGCTCCTTTCTTTAAATATAGATTTGCTACTTTTCATTCCTAATGTACCACCCTAATTAGACAGATTTATTGAAAATCCTTTTTACTGGATTTGCAATGTCACATCTTTCAGAAGTCTGAGATGGAAATTATCCAACTTCCCAATTTGAGCCCATTAAGCTATTTGAGTTTTTCCATTTGCCCTGTTCCTGTTGGCTGGCTCCTTTGTCTCTCTGATCACCATAACATTCCTCCCCATCTCTTTAACCTTTATAAAACATCGTATGAGCAGAACTGGGCAATCTTGAGGACTAGTGAATACAAAAGGGATGAAATTTAACACAAAACAGGAGCTCATGTGGTTAGGGACTAAAAAAGTGAGATTTTTTTCCAATGTGAACTTTTGTCCTGCAGGATATTTGGATTGTTGAGCAACTGTCCTCTGTGTAAAACAGGGATAATTCCACTCTTCAAAATCCTTTATGGTTAAAGATCAAGAAGTACAGTACTCGGATACTCTCTTAATGGGAACCACTTAAGTACCCAACACAACCCAATGCACTTGGATCATCACCTACCATAAATCAGCATCACCTCTTCAAAGTCAGTCTCGTGACCCTAATCTATACCCTTAACATCTGAAAAATGTTTTTGTTTCTTTGGTTTGTTTGGTTTTGTTATAATATTTTTATCATTAAATGACCGCTGGGCAGAAAGAAAAGGTATCTACATTATAAAAGCTCTTTTGCATATTTGAAGATACGCACTGATTAATGGAGACACAAAGACACAGAGACAAGAATCATATATTCTTACTGAGGCAGAAAGATCTTTTCAAATAGCTTTTGTTATCCAATAAAATTAGCATAACTGTTTCATCCTATTAGAAAGTCTAGAAATACACTTAGGAAGCTCTTTTCAAATGTCTGCTGTTAAAACTTAAAACTAACAAAAGGTCTCAGAATTAAATAAAGGCTGTGACAAGAGATTTTCAGTGTCTTTCACTCGATCTGGTGGGATATCTTAACAGGATCCACACTACTGTATACATGGGACATCCTTGGAACCTCCATTCCTTTACAGTGTTTCAGCTTGCATGCTTATGGTAAGAAACAAAAGAATCACAGGGCACAAGACACTTACTTACAAGGAACAGAAGTGGGATAAAGCAGTTTCAAAGCCTGAGTGCATTTCCTACTATCTGACAAGAGATGCTGATAATCACCCACATAATAGTTTCCTTCTCAACACTGAGTGCAGAGTCCCTCCAGAGATGACTGAGGTAGAGCTGCTGAAAAAAAGCAGACGGGGATACCGGAAAAATCCTCCCAGCTCTGCTTTAAGGGGACATGAGTGATGGTTTTCCCACTTCTCTGTCACCTGCAAAGCACTTCAGGTTACTGCAGCTTGTTCTGATGTTACATCTTCACTGAAGTCAGAAACAGAAGTGGGCGCAGACCATAGCAGGCCACTCAGTAAGGAGAAATCTCACCATGAGCCCAGCAGAGCAGTAGTTGGCATGCACCAGATTGCCACAGGGTCTAAGTTATTTCTGACTCAAGGCTTCCTGGCTGGTCTATCATTTATTTGAGAGATTGTGACACTTTTACTTGCAGAATGTAACTGGAATGGAGGACAATGGAATGGAGGTAAAACGGGACGTAAAAACCTTTTCCAAAAAAGCCCCCAGATGGGCAGATACCTTTCTACACATGCACACTGACACACCACTTTGTGGAAAATATCCTGAATTATGCTTAAAATTTTATTTGTTTATCTTCACTGGAGGTTCAAGCTGAGACTGTAGAACAGTTGTTCCAAACATTGGACAAACCTGCTGAATTCTTCTCGGGAGAGCCATGCTGACATCTCTTTAAGGTTACCCAGGATAAACTTGCATCATAGAAGAGTCAGCAGTAGTGACCTCTCTGCCCTTTTAGCTTTATGTTTTAATGTCTCCTCTGTTCAGTCTAAAACTCTGTTTGATCCTATCAGTCACCAAAAGGCAAGGCTTTATACTAGACCCTGTGCTTTCCCCCCATCTTTCTGCTCCACGGCTTGGACCATCCCCTGGACTCTTTCTTCAACAACCACTGGCCACCTCCTTCACACTAAGCTTTCTTGGCCTTTTTGTCACCTCAGATGATCAGTATTAAGTACTTCTTGCCTACTCTCGGTTTTTTGTCACCCTCTTTATCTTTCCTTTCCTTATCTTTCCACATGCTGATGTTATCCACGCTGCATCCTTTCATTCACAGATCTCTTGCCCTGCATTCTCTAGCTGTTCCTGCCCTGCTACCCCAAATCCCAGCTGATCCATACCAGTTGGTCTCTGCTACGTCTCACACAGCGGAGCATCCCTAATGGGAACCCTCCTGACTAACTTTCTCCACTATAAATGCATTGTTTCCCCATTCAGTTCTGTTTGTGTCCTAGACTTACTACTCCAGCTCAGCACAGTTACATCTCAGACTCACAGTCACAATCACCTCTTTGCCACATTTGGCTCGTTCCTCAGACCCTCCCACCTCCTCAGTCCCTACTTCAGTTGTTACGCAGGATTTCACCCAGTTTTTCCAGGAGAAAAATGACAAACTCTGATCTTCTTCTTCCAGCAGCTTTGCCTTCTGCTTCCTCTTCCCCTCCTACAACTCCTTCTTCATTCTTCTCTCCTGCAGGTGAAAAACCTCCTACATGGCTCCCTTTCTTTCTTTTATTTGCCACTTAGCCAGTCTTCCCCTACCTCCTGCCTTTCCTTATGGACACTCTTGTGCTGTCTTCCCCTTGACCTCTCACGCCCCTCTGTCTCTTTACTCTCATAACACAAACACCATTCATCTTAAAACATTTATTTTCCTCTATAAATGCCATGTCTTTTCCTATCCTCCCTTTCATCACCAAACTCTCTGAATATGCCAGCTACAAACACTGCCTGGAGTCCACCCCACTAGTTCAGTGCAGCTTCTTCTCCCTTGCAACTGCTGCTGCCAAAATCTCTACTTAACATACTGAGTACCTTTCAGCATAGTCTGAATGCTCCGTTCTCATCTGCTGCAACATATTAGCTACCTGCAGTAGTCTCCCATGCTGCTTTAACCTGAAGTGGTGTCTTTCTTCAGTTATCATGACATTACTCACTTTTCTTGCACCACTTTTGAATCTGCTCCTTTCATGTGCCCTCCAGAAGATACTTCTCTCCATGGGGCTTTTCTCTTTCTGTATTTTATTCCTTGATAATTTCTATCACAAACATAGATTCCCCTATGAACTCCATGTAGCAATTTCCAGGCTCACTCCTCTAATACAAACTTGTCTCTCTAGGTCTCCTCTAATACAAACTTGTCTCTCTAGGTCCATACCTGCAGTATCTCTAATACTCCCTTACAGACATACATATATCAAACTCAGCTTATCATAACTGAAACAGAGCTCCTAGTGCTCTTCTTCCTTCTTTCAATATGTTTTCTTCAGCAATCCCCCTCTTGATCATCACAGACAATGTTATTACTTTCCTTGTTGTTCTGGTCAAGAACTGACGCAACATCTTCATCTCGTATCTCTCATTACATACGTAGATCCAGGGGATGTTTAAGGTTTGCATATTCTTTCACCATCCAGGCTCTCATCACCTCATGCCTTTATTACTTCAATATTTCTTTTTCTGACCTTTACAAATGTGATCTTGCCCTCCCTATATCCATTTAGGATGCTGCTAGAAATATCATTTTGCTAACACATCACTCTGATCACACCATTTCTCTTAGCAGCTGTAGACTGCTGTCCCCATATCTACTCATTAGTGTAATCTACTTGTCTTCATTAAGGAAATGTCAACTTCTTCCTACAGTCAACCAAAGAGGTCAATCCCCATCACTTATTTATCAATTCTTCAAGCAGACATGACCCATGATTTTTCTGGTGCCATCCTTCAGTCTTTGGAAGACCATCCTGTAAACATCCGCGCTTTTTATTCATTATCCCTCTTTACAACTCCTGTAGGAATCCCACGTTTTGTGGTGCTTACAGAAACGTGGTTTGTCTCCTGGTGTTCTAAAACCACTACTGCTCACGCCGAACATAATTACTTTGTAGTCTCCCTGTACTCCCTCATAGGGCTGCGTTACTCGCCAATATTTAAAGCGCGGCCACATGTCAGAAGGACGGGGACTTTTTTCTGATCCATGATTTCTGATCCATGATTAAGGCTCATAAATCCGAGGGTAGGACGCTAACTGGTATTAATAATAGCAAACGAAATCCCTATTATACTGCTACTGAGCTGAGGTATGAGAGATTTAGTCACTTGCCTCAGGTCATGAAGAAAGACTGTGGACTGAATTCTGGCTTTGTAAGCCCCTGCCCTAACTGCAGTACTACCTTTCTTTCATCTATTCTGGTAGTTATCTACAAAGGATTTTGATTTCAGCAGGCTCAGCTGGGCATTTCTGAATATTTATTTATGGAAGAATTAGGCTTTATGAGAAAGAAAATGGGGAAATTTCCATTTTTTAGTCTGATTCCTCTCCTGCAGAGAAAGTGTGTTAGAGTATATTCTTTTCTTTTAAATGGATCCTATTCCAAATGATCTGTTAAGGGCACTTGGATTCCAGAACCAACATTTTTTATTTATTTATTCCTTAATAAATACTAAGAAACACCATCTCATTTCTTTCTTTTGCTCTTAAAGAGGTGAATGTGTAGTCAAGGGTTCCAGCAACACTTTGTGAGCAATGAGCCATCAAGTAACTCACATTATAAACGATCACCGTTATTTTTGCAAAACCTACAAAATATAAAGGCTTCTTTTTTACTGGTTCTGCAATAGTTAATGAACTCATTACCCTCTTAAAGTTTTTCTGAATGCACAGAAATAATTTTTCAATACAAAAAAGAAATATTAATGTGGATTTTTTATTGCGGGAGATGACAAAAGAGTTCAGACCGTTTCATCTCTATTTGAGAAAAATAATCCTTCAAATTTTTATTTTTACAGTGAACAGAACACATATGAACACTTACTAAACCTTTCCTCCACACTTTGAGAAAATTTTTTAGCAATAGTTAGAAAGGATAAAAATGCTGAGATTTCTCAAAGGGATTTGGATGTCCAATTAAATGAACATGAATTAAGCATGCAGTCCTGAAGGCAGCTCTGCAAATATCAGTTTCTCTTGAGAAGGGCATGATCCCATCATTTTTACTCAGGCAAAATTTCCATTTGTCTTCACTGGCAATTTTGCTTGAAAGCCAACAGCTTGATTGAAATTTGCCCTTTAAAAAAGCATGATTAAAAACAGTGTTAAATTACATATATGTTCTTAG